CAGCCAGCCCTGCTTCCCGTTGGCTCCCATGGGCAGCCCCATTGCCCCTCCTCCCCCCATTAGCTGTTTCCAGGCCCCCCCTTCCCAGCCAGCACCGCTCCCTTCCTGGCCGTCCTCCCCCCCATGAAGCGTGTCCTGTTTTTTGTTTTTGTTTTTTTTAAATGACTACCTGGTAACCCCTAGCAGTGATCCAGGTTTTTTCCCAGTGTTTTGGGTTTTTTTGGGGGGGGAAGGGGGGCGAAGATGTTTGGTATTTTTGTTTCAGCCATGAGGCAACCCTAGGTACTTTTGCTGGCCCCCACTCCTCCATTTATCATGCCAGAGTGGGGAAGGAGCCATGACAAAGGGTAGTGGCTTCTCTGCCCTTCATGCCCTTCCAGGGGAACATAAGGAGGCTTAGAATACAGCACGGCCCTGATGAACACTGGTATTAAAAGACGGCTATCATTTGGGCCTACAGTGAAATCCACACACACACATGCTCAAAGAAGCTGATCAGAATACAGTCTTCATTGTGTTAAACAATCAATAAAGGGAATATAAAATTGAAACAACAAACTTCAGAATTACCATAGGAACATTACCTGGAGAACTCTGCTCATCCACTGAAAACTATCTTCCTCTGTGGAATCTGGCCTTTGTTCAGCAACAATAACTATCCTTTCATCATGAAGCACACTCACTGAAAACACTGCTATTCTGTAACACACAGAAAGAAAAGGGGATTGAGTTAGAATACTGACTGCAGAAAAGTCTATTCCATTCCTGCAGTGAACATTTTGGAAATGTTATTTGTCAATTACTCGAATTATTCAGAAGAATGATACTTTAGCTACTAATTCTGCTAGTGAAAAAAATGTCATATGAAACCCTGACATAATTGTTAAACTTGACTAAGGTCGGAGGAAAAATATTACAAGACCTGTAAAATCAGTAGTTTTTGTAAAGTAGTGTTACTAATGATCTTTGATTCAGTAGCCTTCACCTGGCCTGTCAGCCATTTTAATCCTGCCCTCGAGCTTGTACTAGGAACTATGGTCTGGGGTTTGCCCTGAAACACAAATCCTGGAAGTAGCAGCATGTCCTCCCTCTAGCACCTATGTATATGGGTCCCACACTCCCACACTCCAGCCTCATTCATGATCCTCCATACAATTTCCAAATCCCAGAAGTTTGACCGCCCCTGCTCTGCAGCCTTATTTACACAAGGAAATTCTGCACAAGCTTCCCACCATTGCCAACTCTCACGCAACACCATTGGTGAAAGCAGGCTTGCTGACAGGAATTCTGGGCTCTAGGACAACACATCAACGGGCTTCCTAGCCCTTGTCCCTTGGCGAGAGAGAGGCACAAGCCACCTCCCTCTCCCTGCCCAGAGAAACCTCAAGCACCACTCCTCAATCAGAGGACCCTCTGGTTGGTCACTGCCCCATACCCATGTGCTTGGAGATGCTCCTCTCACCCTACTTCCCCTCCAGTCCAGCTCTGACCACCAGCAGTCCTCTGCCCCTCACCCTTGGCTCCTTTCTCCCAACCATCCTTACTTACCCATGCTTGCACCCCCCACTCTTTTGCCTTCCTAGCCTGATTCCTCCTCCCCTCTAGGCCCTCACTCCCTGCAGTCCAGTGCCCGACTCTACCCCCAGAGTTTGGCTCCTTCCTTCTCTTCACACCCTGACTCCCTCCCGCTCCATTCCCAGACCGGCTCTCCCCTCCCCTCAGACCCAGGCAGGGTTCAAAGTGATAAGGAGTTCCAGGCCCTCCTTTCCACCCTGCTGCTCTGTGGATCTGAGGCTCCCCATAGCTGCTGCTATGTCGCTACAACAGCGCTTTTTAAAAGGAAAAAATGAGGGTTGCTGTTGCTGCGTGGCAGTCTTGGGCCCCTTTAATTCTACTGGGACCATGTTCAACTGCACCCTTTACCTCCTCCTGTCGATGGACCTGGGTGTAAGCAACATTTGGGAGTTTAGTGTGAATAGGTCACACCTGCCACAGGCATTTTTAAATACTGGGTGACTTAGACTTGCTTTAAGCAACATAAAGATCTTAATTTACAAAGAAACAAAAGTGAGCCAAACCTTCCTCTGTAGACAAACTTCATTGGTTCCACAGCCAGGGCTGTTGCTACAATGTCATCAGCATTATGTCTTCTTCCACTGACCACCATTAGACCGTCCATTTTGCCTATGACGAAGACAAGCCCTCCTGGTCCAATAAATCCTAGCAAGCCTGTCCTTATAAAAGGGTATTCACTTATAGGAGCTCCTGAACTGGTCATAGGAAACACCTGTAATAGAGACAGGAATACAGTTATCCATATTCCTTACAAGAAACTAATCCCCAGAGTTACCAGCACTATGGGCTTCCCTGAGAATGGGGAGTCCTTATTCCACTCTGAACCCAGACCTCTCCACCCATTGTGCTAAACCTTGTGACATATTTATTTAGGACACACACTTTCCATAGCTTCTATGTTTTAATTTAATAACAATAATGGATACAAATATTTGAATGGGAAGGAATTAAATTTAGGTCCAAAATGCAGTGAAGAAATAATAATAAAAATATCAGTGGAAATGTCCACTCTCATTAAAGCAATACACTTCAGAAAAAAAAAAGTCACCAAAACAAATCAAGCCATTTTAATATACTGTAGACACCCATCAATTTTACGTAAGTTAAACAAATTATGTTCTCTTGGTCTCTGCAATGACTACAGCAAATGCCATGAAAATTGCAGGGTCTGAGGATGTGTAAATGCAAGTTCTTAGTTATCTAAGGCAATCACAAGCTGAGGGCCTCCACTGTGAGTTGTCAATAAAAGTCAAAGTGTCTGTGTTTTTTCCTTTGAGGCTCAGTTATCAAAAGAAAAGGTCACATTCTGCACATTGATGACTTATTGAAAAATGAATAATGGTTCATTCAGAGACCATAATTAGTTCTGAAAGCAGATAATTGACTCTTGACTTGCTCTCACATGAAAGGGCACGTAAGAAAAGCATCTTAAGTGTTTTGGTCAAGGTTCTTGAGCATGTGAGTAGCCCCATTAATTGGGCTACAGATATGCTTAACCTCACATACATGCTCAACTAAGGGCCTCAGTTACTACCAACTGGATATTACCAACTATGACTGATTTTACTGATGCTATTAAATTCTAGCTGATTTTACTGAGCTTAATTCTAGCTTAATTCTGTTATTAAGTTCTGTCTTGTACACTAGTCAGATATTGGATTTCCAGTCACACTGGCTATCACTAATTGCTTTTTCAGCACGTGAAAAAGTGATTTTAGAAATTCAAAACCATTGCAGTATAGAAAGATTCCTGGCTTCCATGGGTCTAGGAACTGTCATTCCCACTTCCAGCCCCTGGTGTTTATTCAGGGTATAGTGCTTGTGACACTCAGAATGGGGTACGAATTAGGAATATTGAAACAGTCATTATGCAGGAAAAAATTAACTGTTTAGCCTACAGCTTAAAACTCTCTAAACCAAGACTCTCCTGTCTGGCAACATCTGTGGTCCGGCATAGATGCTGCAGGACCAAAAAGTCCCAATGGAGGGCCAGTAGCAGGGAGTCCCATGGGGATGGCAGGGCAGCAGAGTGCCCGTAGCAAGCTGCTGGCGAAGCCACCCAGGGTGCAGCATCAGGGCTGGGAGAACCAATGTGTTGCTGCCTGGCGGTGATTGTGAGCTGCAGCAGCAGCGGTGGTGGCCCTGCAGGGCCCAAAGCTGCAGCTTGTGGCTGCCCGGTGGAGCCAGGAACTGCGGTAGTACACAGCTGCCTGGCAACGTCAGGAGTCCCGGTGCATGACTGCCTGGAAGGGTTGGGAGCCCCAGTATGTGGCTGCTCAGTGAGGCTTGGAGCCGGGCAGCAGCGGCTGCCCATCAGGGCTGGCAGCAGGTGGGGAGCTGGCTGGGAGGGCACTGGGCCAGGCCAGGGTGGAGGTGAGGGGAGAGTGACAGGGGGCCCAGAGTGACCTCCCCTGGTCGAGCAAAATCCCTCATCTGGGACTGTTCAGGTCCCAAGGGTGCTGGATCAGGGAGATCCAACCTGTATACAAATGTTGCAATCAGAAGAAGCATTTGGTTAAAGGAGCAATACATTTACACTCATTTCCTTGCCTCCTTGTTTCCCCACCCCACTGATTAAGAAAAGAAAGAAACAAAAATTTAAATAAAGAATATCTCTGTTCAGTTTTTCTCTGTACTTCAGTGACTTGTCTAGACTTTTTATATCATGTCAATTAAGGTTCCACAAAAACAGAAGTAGACAGCTGCTACAAAGTTATCAAATTAGCTATCATCATAGAAATGCAGAGCTCAGAAAAACAAGCAGACTTATGAAATTCAAAGAATTACACCTCTTTTGGTTTAAAAACAAAAGCCATATTTAGTTCATTAGGAAAAAAGCAATCTTGTAAAAATCATGTTTTCAGACTGCTTCAAATCTCTCTTCAAAACATATTTCTGTTATGATTCCTACAAGAAATCAGTTAACTAATGTTGGCTAGATTGAAGATTTGTTGAAGAAAGTTTTTAAATCTAATTTCTCAGCAGTTTTCCAAGTGTTTGGAACCATGAAGTTGTACACACAGGTACCCTATAAAACTGCATGTCCTGCATCCCTCTTTCCTCCTATAATTTGTTACAAACACAAGTATCTTGTTTCAAACAGAGAACAACCTCTCAGGGTGATAACCATACTTTTCTAAAGGTCTGAAGAGTATTTAATGAAATGAAGCCCCCTAAAATTTAATTGCTACTGGTTTTCACTTGGCATTACAAATTGTATCGCTAGTAGTTAGTAATAATGAATAGAATTGTTAGCATTACTGCACCTGTACATATACAGATGTCTCAACTCGGAAGAGTTAAAAAAGATGGATTCTGTTGTGCACGTTCATTCTGACTCACCTCAAAAGTGTTCTTGGTCATGCCTGAGAGTCCATAATATGATGTACCTGTTGCTATGGCACATACACAAAGTTCGCCTATTTCATCTGTTCTACAGAGCTGAGGAATTCCATCTGGCTTCACTGCACACATTATAGCTAAAAAGAAAGCAAAATATTTTCAAAAATATTATGGAAATGACAGAGGAAAGTTAGTGGTAGCAGGAGGCTGTGGGCTAGAAATTTCAGTGAATAAATTATATGCCGACAGTAATACCATACATATTACATACATTACCATATATATTACAAAATCAAATATTTTTCTTTAACTTCTGGATGACAATTATTCTATATCCAATTGCCAGCAACAGATGTCAAGGCAGGAAGGCTGGTTCTCACCTAAACCCAAGTAAAATCCATGCAAGACATCCAGATATTCTGCCCATCAGACTAGAACAGCAGTAGTGTGTTTCTTTGTCAAGAATTACCAGAGTTTAGACGCCCATCAATTTTGTACTAGAGTACAGCACAGACAGCAGGAACTAAGAGGAGACCAACAAGTGAAGAAAAATATTGACAGTGGGCAGAGAGAGAGAGAGACTACTTCTACACTGCAATGCTATTTGGGCATCTTCATAGCAAGCCTGTTATTTTGTGCTTGCTATTCTGACGTCCCTGTAAACCTCATTCTTCGAGGGGTAAGGAGCACGTTATTTCAAAATTAAATGATGAAATAAGCTGTTTTGAAATAGCATCGAAATAAGATACGCAATTTGCACAGCTCAAATTGTGCATCTTATTTCGAGTTATGGTGCAGTGTAGATGCTCAGAGAGAGAGAGAAAAAGAGCACATTGGGAGGAGAAAAGCCAGAGAGAGAGAGAGAGAGAGAGAAAGTGCACATTGGGGGGAAAGAAGCCAGAGGGAGAGACAGAGTGCACATTGGGGGGAGAGAAGCCAGAGGGAGAGAGAGTGCTCATTGGGGAGAGAAGAGAAGGAAAAATCGCAAAGGTGAGAAAGAGTATTCTTGCTTGAGGACACTCTGATACTTTCTATCTCTGCACCAAAGACAGTGTGGGAGTTCTGCCACTTCCAATCTTGGACACAAAAGTAAGGGCAGGTATGCCTCTTAGCAGCAATCTCTGTAGTAGGAGACTGTCATAAGCATATGTCTTTGCAACTGGAAAGGGGCTGAGGTGAAAGAGAAAAGGGAAGCAGACCAGAATGCCTTTAAAAGTGCAAATATTATGTCTCGGCTGCTTCTCCACTCCCAGTGAGGATAATCACAAAATAATATGTATTATATCTTCCCTTGAATTAGAACAGAATATATAATCAGCCATGAACCAATATATCTATAAAATAATTTTATATCAGGGCTGTTAGAAAAAAATCAACTTGCTTCCATTTTAACTTGTTCAACTGAAACAGAGTTCATTTGGTACATAATGTATTAGAAGTTCTGTTAAGAAACACAGCAATATTGGTCTTTTCCAGTCAGTACAACACAACACAAAAAATCAATTTGGATACAGAGCCTGATGTCATGTTAAAAAACTCTAGCTTCTTGCTTTAGTCTGAATTTTATAACTATTATCTCCTTAAGATACATCTCTTTTTATAATGAATGTAGGGGCTTGAGGAAATATTCTGCAAGTCTGCAGCAAGCAGTTTAGTTTACATTTACAGTAGATTAGAAAAATAACCTAAAATACCTTGGTCTGGTTTGGGTCACACTTGTTTCTATGGATACCTGTGATCTAGCTTCTGCATATAGGATTCCAAATTATATTTTATTCTGAGCATTTCAGGCATAATGAATTACTGCTGAACATGCCCTCATGAGGACAATGGAGAAGAATCAGGTGTTGCGAGGACACTTGAAATGAAAGCAATCTGTGGCTAATGAATGGTGGCTGAGCATGCGATCACAGTAACTACTGGGAAGAAAATGTATATACTAGAACTAGAAGATTTACCTGGTGTTGCCTGGGTCCTTAATTCAAATAAGTTTTGTTTTCCTTCATTTAAATCATTGCTCTGGGGTGGGGTTGGGGATGAGGGGTTCGGTGGGCAGGCTGCCCTGGGGAGACAGGATAACCCCAGCCCTCTCTCTCTCCACAACAGCATGGGGCCAAGTGAGAAGCACCTATCCATGGCCACCGCAGGTGCAATGGTTCCAGCTCGGTGAGAGATGAATGTCCTCCAGCGGGGGAACAGACATGCAGACAGACAAACTCTCTGCAATATATGATAGATAGCTGTCCCTTTCTTAACCCTTGCTGGCCCAATGGGGTTATAGCTGTCCCAGTCCCTATCTCTGGATGTGTCTACACTACAGGGTTTTGTCAACAAAAGTGCACTTTTGTTGACAAAACTATACCTGCGTCTACACTACCGCCGAGTTCTGTCGACATAACATCGACAGAACTCCACAGTTTCGTCGACGGCGGTAAACCTCATTCTACGAGGAATACCGCCTTTTTGTCGACAGAGTTCTGTTGACAGAAGGCATTATTGCATCTACACTGTCCTTTGCGTCTACACACTCATGTCAACAAAGTGGCTTGCTTTGTCGACAGAAATGGATGTAGTCTAGACGCTCTTTGTCGACAGCGTCTGTCGACAAAAGCCTCTGTCGACAAAAGCCTGTAGTCTAGATGTACCCTCTGATCCCTAGCTGCCCTTCTGTGGTCATTCCAAAATATAACGGTCCTTCTCACCAGACTCCCCCTTTTCCATTTCATGAGACAATCAAATTCCAGGCTCATCCCATTGTGTTGGTACAACCATACCCTTACCTTGCTTAAAGGTATGATAAGAGGAAGCTACATTCCAAATTTGGTGGTCCTAGCTCTTACCATTTAAGAGGCGTTTTTGAACAAACGGACTCACACATGGCTGGATGGACACACAAAGTTTCTAAAAAATTTTTTTATATATATTACATATGTCAGAGAAAATTGTTCCAATCCCTACCTCCTGGCATCACCAAGCCAACATCTTGCACAGTCAGGACAGAGAGCTTTTCTTCAGAATCCACTCTAATTACTCCATAGGTGAGACCATGCATGGACAAAACTCCCCTCCCTGGAGGCTGATTGCTATCGTCTGTTGGCCTGCAACAAAACATCAATAATTTGAATAGGCAGTGTGGTTTACCAGGCAAAATATTATCTTTTCCTCATATGTAACAGAGTTGTAGCAGATATACCCCAATATTGTCTTAAATATTAGCATTTCTTAGATTTAATTTTGATTTATTTTCCACATCATCCTCGTTTGCCTTATAATATTTGACATGATTCTTCTCCCACGATATCACTGGTAACTAGAGATGCTAGCTTTCACTGTCAGCATCCACTCAGAAGAATGTTGCTAGAGTGTCTTAAGTATAACTCTGATCTCACCTTCTGTAATTATTTTTAATCTTCAAAGAGCTTAACACACATTAATTCACTTAGTTGCCTAGTGAGAGACAGCAGCGTCATACTTAGCGTTATAAATAGGGAAATGGAGAGAGATTAATGCCCAAATGTTCAAAACTGATTAGTGATGCCTCAATTCTTGGTAGCCCAATAGTCAATTCAGAATTTAGGATTAAGTGATGTGACCAGGACTATAATGTGTTAGTGTTAGAAAATTAGGATTAGAACTGAAGTATTCTTGATTCCCAGTTCGGACATAGACCAAGGCTGTGATATTTTTTTTTTAAGCCACATGGTTAGGCATCAGCCTTCTGAACAAAAGATACTACATTTTTAAATACAGGCAGTCCCCAACTTACGCGGATCCGACTTACGTCGGATCCGCAGTTACGAACGGGGCTGCCCCAGAGTACACGCCTGTGTACTCTGGGGCTTTGCTCTGCGTCTCCCTGGTCTGCAGACCAGGAAGACGCAGAGCAAAGCCGCCGGGGGGCTCGGGCAGCGAGGCACCCCAGGCGCGCCTGGGCTGCCCCGCCGCCAGCTTTCCCGCGGCTTTGCAAAGCCCTTTTCCGGAGTATCTCTTATTCCTACTTTGAATAAGATCCTCCGGAAAAGGGCTTTATTCCGGAGGATCGCACCAGTCTAGACGCTTTTTTCCGGCTTTTCCCCAAGCCAGAAAAAAAGCGGCGGCCATGTTTATTTAAATCCCGCGGGGGATATTTAAATCCCCCACGGACTTCCCTATTCTGAAGTTGGAAATTAACATCCCTCTTCCGGAGAAGGGGCCAATGTAGACATAGCCAGAGTGAAACTGGAAAGACATTCACACAGAATTGTACTTCATAATGTAAGATAGAGTATTACTATGCTGAGTTGTTTAGGGATATTGCTCACATATAATGTGGACCGACAAACTATTTTCAAGATCAATGAAAGAGCCCACATGCATCTTGGGGGGTTTTACATTCTTGCTGTGTATTCCATTGTAACTAATGCTCGTGTTATCCAATCATGGGTTTTTTTATATGTCATGTCTCCTCCGCTATGCTTGAAATCCATAGATCAGCCTTCACTAATCATGTTCACATAAGACTCAAAGTGACTGATATAATACATTTCAATTAATAGATATTATAAGGCATTTCTAAGATGACAATGTCAACAAAGAAGGTGTTGGGCAGGCTCAAATACGCATTAGAACATAACAAATTGAGGCTAGTAAATAGGCAGCCATGATGAATAACATTTTCATCATTTAAAAGGAGCACTCAGCCACATTATTGATCAACTTTCTCATTCCCAATCCCCAAGTGCACATTATGTTGCTCACATGATCTTAAACATGAAAATAAAATGCCTGTTTTCACTGGTTTCCATCTTAAATTTGCTCACATATTTCCTCATAGTGCCACATTTAATAGAGCAAAAGCCAACATGGGACTTTTTGCATATGTCTGTCTTGTTTTATTAAACAAATCCAAGGTTGGGTGGATGAATAATGGGAGCAGTTACAAGATACACAGACTCCTTAGGAATATGCCTTATCAGCAGTCCTATGCAGTCCAAACCAGGGCAACCCTAACATGAGTATCTCTACTAAGCAACTGCAGGGAAAAATCACCAGGGAGAAAGGTGAATTCAAGTAGTATTTTTCCAAGACATTTAGATCTTTTTAGGTTAAAAGTTAACAACTCCATCTGCTTACTAGTTATCCCTAAGAACAGAATTTGAAGGTCTCTAAGGGTTCATTACAGGAAGGATAAATTTTGAGACTAAGAAACAGAGGTAACAAGATAGGGTTTTTATTTCCATAGGCTAAATGAAAGTGCCCATGTCACTAAAGGTATCTGTACTGCAGAGTCCCTATGTCTAAAAGACTAATAATACCTGCCTACTTCAAGATTCAAATTAAGGAAGCCTTAACATGTAGCACCTGTAAAATATTTGAGACTCTTGGATTAAAAAGATTGTGTAAGCAGAAGTATAGAGTTTTCTCCTTTTCAGAAACATGTATAAAAGATCATAACTGGTTTATGACTTATATTCATTGACTTCAATGGAAGTCTTTGTGTGGTTAAAGGAATCAGCACTTATTTAAGTTACTGGCAGTATCAAGGCCAGATGCCATCTGGTGGAGGCAGTCCATCAAGTGGTCTTACAAAACACCTTGACCACGATTTTGCATATTAAATTACTTTTTTGCAGCTTTCAACTATATTATGCTTTGAGTTTCTGGTTAAAGCAACAATTCATCTAGTAGTAATTGCCTTTTTTCTATATTATACAGACATTTTACAAGAGGAATGGCTTTTTTCTTAGTCTTCTCTCAAGGAAAATCTATAATTAACGATTTAGAAAAGTATACTGCAGTTGTAGTGTTAACAGGAAAACTGTATACAACGGATCTGTAGCCAGTCTTTCTAATTTATGCTTCAGATGCTAATCTGTGGAATTTGTGTGATAATGACTTTACCGTCGAGAATGACTGAATGGAATGTGAAAGACACTAAATTTCAGAGTTCAGGAAGTATTATCTTGCTATTTACAGGCCATACACAAGCATTTGTAAGTTTGATAACATTCACTGTAACAAGACGACTGCTACATAATTACTGAACAAAGTTCTAAAACTAAAAAATATTTTCCATATATTATCTATTTTATTTGTTGTTAAAACTTTTTAGGTAATCTACCAAAAGTACTTAATATGAAAATGGATTCTTAACAATTCAAAATGGATTTTAGCATGGAATTTTGAAGCTAGATAGGACAGACTTTCCTTTATACATTAAGGTTAAAACTTTGGATAAAATGACTCCATTCTGCAGCTTCAGATTTGAGGGAGGTACTGTATGGGCCAGCAGGGAAAAGAAAACCTTTTAGCCCTTACCGGGGAATGCCTACCCTCTTTTTCCTGTCTTCCATGTGGGGCTCCTTGTAGATGAGTAAGAGAAATGCGGAGCTGCTTGTTTAATGGGATGGATAGATGAGTGTAGCAGAAGCCCATTAGCTCCCACATAAATCCTTTCCGTTACCCATGGTGCTACCTCCTGGGGATTAGAGTAGGATCCTTTTTCTGGATCTTGCAATGAGCATCATATAGGTGGCCTTTTTTTTAGGCTGGGAAAATGGTTTTCCCTTATTGCCTGATTAGCCTGGGTAGAGATTTTTATCTTCTCCATAGCCTATGGACCTGGTGGGCAAGTTAAGTGTTAACGTATTCACATCTCAGTTTGGCTGATTCCCTGACAAATCAAAATTGGAATATGGATTGGGGGAAGGTAATCACTGAGGCTATGTCTAGACTGGAGGTTTCTTTCAGAAGAAGCTTTTCCTGAAAAGATCGTTCAAAAAAACTTCTTCCAAAAGACAGTGTCCACACAGCAAAAGCGCATCAAAGAAGTTATCTGCTTTTTTGAAAGATAGCGTCCACACTGTATGGACGCTATCTCACATTTAAGCAGCGATTACTATGGATGGAGTGGCCACCAGGGCACCTGTGCTTTTCCCTCTCTCCTCTTCTTTCGAAAGAACTCCCTCTTCCCGGTCCACACACGCCTTTTTCTGAAAGAACTCCTTCGGAAAAAGGCTTCTTCCTCATAGAAAGAGGTTTACCAATGTTGGAAAAACCCCTCTTTTCTTTCAATTTTTTGTCGAAAGAATGCAGTATGGACATAAGTAAAGTTTTTTCAGAAAAAAAGGCTGTTTTTCCGAAAAAACTGTAGTGTAGACATAGTCTGAAGGTGGCCAACAGATTTCAGGGTAATAGAGTCTGGGCTGCAAGAGGCCAGCCCAATGTTCTTGATCAAGAAAAAGGCAGGGAGGTCCCAGCAACAATTCTAGGACTAAGGTTAAAAGAGAAATGTGTTGATAACAGCCCACCCCATGGTGACATGGATTACAAACAGAAGGTTGACCTGGACTGCATAAATGATTACTGGATAATTCCTAGGCTTGTTAAGAGACTTGTGTCCAAGTTAAACACACTCCTGGTATCTTTTCTTTCTTCCTGCAGTAATCCACGTAACTGCACTTAAAAAACCAGGTGAAATATTCCTTAACAGGAATTATATTTTACATTTTGCAGATTATCTTTTACTTAACATAATTACAAAACTTAATTAAATCAGATGCTTCATGAGGCTATACACTGAAAGATGGCTCTAGAAATCTGGATTTTAGAAATGCATTTGAACTGACCATCTAGGATGATACACCTATACTTCATGATTTCCACTTTTCATCAAGGTTATGACACCCTGGCACAAACATAGTAATGCCCTGCTGTTTTCACAATTATGGAATAAGTGCCCACTACCTCCTTACAATCATGAGTAAATAGAAGGGTTTGGCAGTTTGCTCGAATTTATATATTCCATTTCCAAGCACAGACACAATAGTGCTGGTAGCTCATTTCCATGAAATTCATGAGCTCCTCTAATCATTAAGAAAAAAAGCCATGGAGCCAAAAGCTACCAGAAGCCTGTTGTAATTCTCCAGAAATACATTGGTTGTTGAGTTCTAAAGCATGATTTTCCCACCCTTGCAATTTAGTTAAGATTCCCTCTTTTTACTTCATTCACTGCTTTACTGTGGGATTTTTACAAGGGTTTTCATACTGTTCACATTTGCATGTTAGCCTGTTTGATTGGAAACTCAAATCATATTATGAACTTGACCACAGTGTACTTTCCCTCCACAACTAGTTAGGATGTCACTATAGGACTGCATGTTCTATTTGGTACAAAGATGAATACAAAATGGATAATGTGAATGCTAACTATAGATCCATAATCTTTCTTAAACATAATTTTGCATTTTTTTAATCTTGAATCTGCCATTGCATAGGTAACACAGTACCTTCGAATAGCCACAGTGAGAGCTTCTGGTGAACTGGCACAAGGACAAATGACCTCCTGTCTTAGGCCTTTACTTTGGAAGACATTGAGAAATGCATCACAGGAAGAAATAGACCCTAGAATGAAAATCAGAGAAAAAAAATCTGACTTCTGAAATAATGCAATTCACATGCAAAACATTTTCAGGACAAAAGGATCTAGATTATATCTGGAAAACACCATATCTGGTAGAGCTCAGCTACATAGGGTGTATTAAAGATTAGCTTTCCAGCATAAATAGTTACATTATTTGTGGGTAGAAGAGCCACTACACAGGGATTTAAGATGTAAAGCAAACATACAACATGTTTAACAAAAGGAACATTAAGGAAGGATTTACTCTAGGAACTCAAAGCAAGTTACAATAGATAAGCAGAAGATCTATATCACTGTATTGTAAAAATAACATGGAGAAAGTTCTTATTAATTTTCATGAAATGATCCAGATGCAGTTGTCTACAATAATGCAAATATCCCCTCCCTCCAAAAAAAATGTCTTTGTTACTCAGAAGCAAACCTTCTGCTTCTTTCTACATCTTAAAGATAATTTATTTCAGTCTTTATATATTGCTGTCATGTTAAACAAAACTGGATTTACTGCGACTTACGTTATGCAGAATATCAAGTTTGCTTCAGGATTAGCTAAGGAAAAATACATTTTAAAAAAATCCAAAATTAATTACTGTTTCCATAAATGTTGTGTAGTTTGCAGTAGATAAACCTTATACTTTTGTTAAACATTTTTGGCTAATGTGACTGAAGACTGAAACTTAAAACATAAGACAGAAAATAAGTATCATATATTTTGTTTTATTATACAAGCATCACTTACAAGGATTTGCACCATCGGCCACTATTAGCATACGCAACGAGGAAAGGTTGATATCTCTTTGATCTCGATGTGCCACTAATGCCCAGTGCATGTCCCTGGATTTTACACAAGCGACTTTTGCTAAAATAAAAGTCAACAGATTACTAATGTCATGTGTACAAGTTATTTTGTGGCAATGAGTAAATTACAGCTAAATAGGCTCAATAGCAACAACTTACTTTTCTAAATTTTATTTTTCAAAAATACTTTTATACACTTGTGATCCTTACCTTTGTATTGGCAGACTTTCTGTATCCATGATAGTGGATTCACTTTCATTAAGGAATATGGGATACTGATAACATGCATCATGTTCATGACACTCTGAAATCAAAATAAATTAAACAAGGGATTTGTCCCCAAACAGCATATATTTAGTAATGAATCAAGTTATGAGTACATAATTAGGGACTCTGGTTTAAACCAATAACAAATCCTTAAAAAAAAAAAAGGCTGAAAATTGTAATGTAACTTTTAAAAAGGATGTTCACTTGTCTCCATTCTTCTTCATGTAAGTTTATGCAACAGCAATATGGAATGTGGCCCAATGCATGCTTTAATTGATAAAAGCTGAGTGACTGACAGCTGTGTCTTTGCTTCAGAAGTGAATTTTAGGGCCCAATTCTGCTAACCCTTAGTTCACAGAAATTGCCCTGACTCAAAGACATATGCAACTATTAAAACCTAGAAAAGCTTGATAATACAAAGATGAGACCTGAAAGGCCACATTATAGCAAAAATATTAGTTTAGCAGTGCACAAAAGTAGGAAGTGGAATCCGTGATAATACTTAAAATAAGCAAAATTTTGCTTACTCTTAAAAAAAAATAAATTAAGGGCCTCTTGGCCCTTTTATTGGCTAGACCAACCCCAGTACATCCTTGGTGAGATTCTAAAAAGTTGTAGAGTATATAAATAAGAAATTCAGTACATCCAATGGCAGCAAGTTGATGTTTGTGTTTTAAAATGTTTCTTTCTGTAAGTTATTTGTCACATAATATCGCTATATTGAAGTAATGGTTCAACATGGTACATTTTTTGGGAAACCCAATACAAGGATCCCCAGATCAGAACACCAGTCAATCTCTCAATGGGATTACTCATGTAAGTAACTGGAGCCAAAGATGATACATGTTGAACTTCTCTAGTCCAGCACTTTCTGGTCCAGCAACATCTGCGGTCTGGCACAATTTTAGTTAGCCAGATGTCCACTTATCATGAGTATGGCCAAAGTCCCATAAAGTTGTTCACAGCCACTAGTTCTGATTCTGTGCTGTTATTTAGCTCTCGTTTACCCCTGACTGTCTTGAGAGCCCAATAAACAGTGAAAGTGTTGGTAATGCTGCTGGACAGTATTGACCTCCCATGGTTCGGCAAATTCTCTGGTTCCGCACTGGTCAGGTCCTGAAGGTGCTGGACTAGAGAGATTCAACCTGTATTTCCCTTTTCAGCAACTGTTAACAGAGGAAAAGCATTCACAGATCAGTCAGGCAGCAAGTTAAGGTCATATGAAGAACAACAGTAAAACAGGTGATTAGAAAATTTTGTTGGGTGCTTACTTTCAGCATATGTAATAAAGTTAACAGTGTTAAATTAACTACTTATGGACATAAAGTCTGGTATCCCATTCTGCCTCAAGCCATAATTATAATTGCCCTTTGGCACTAATGGACACAGAACAACAGGAGGCAGGGAAGGTATGCTGGATTCCACTGGAATCATAACACATCAGCTTTTTCAGTTTGAAATTTTCAGATATGGACTCAAAGTTAAACACACTCTCCACTAAGATCAGTTGAACAGGATTTCCCTAAACTTCTGCTGCAACAGTCTTCAAGGGTATGTTGGAAACTGTTTTTAATAAATAATAATAATAATAATTTTAAAAAAAGATGTTTTCTTCCACATCAGTGAACTTCCTGGTTTTTACTTTGGAAGATATTCAAGAGGTAAACAGACAGCCTTTTCAACGTATTGAAGCACAACTGTTGCAAGGTAAGTAATTCAAGTCTGGCCATCACAGGTGAGACCAAAGGCCCATATAGCCCAATACTGTGCTGTTCAACAGTGGCCATTGCAAGGTGCTTCCAAGGGAATGAACAAAACAGGGCAATTATTGAGTGACCTGCCCCTGTCATCCATTCCCAGCTTCTGGTATTCAATGGCTCAGGACACCCAGCGCAAGCTCCCTGACCACCTTGGCTAAAAGCCACTCATGGACCTATCCTCCATGAACTTGTCTAAAACTTTTCTTAACTCATTATAATTTTGATCTTCACAACATCATCTGGAAATGAGTTCCATAGGCTGACTATGCATTGTGTGGAGTGTTATTTCCATTTGCTTGTTGTAAGTTTGCTGCCTATTAATTTCATTGTGTACCCCTGGTTCTTTTGTTATAGGAAGGGGCCAAGAACCCTTCCTTATTCAATTTCTCCATACCATTCACAATTTTATAGACCTCTCTCATATCCCCCTCCCCATTACGCTATATCTACACTATAGCAGAGATTGAGGATCTGAGATTGTCCACTGGTGGTCGATTTAGTGGGTCTAGTGAAGACCCACCAAATTGACTGCAGACTGCACCACCGAGGCTTTTCTCAGGGCAGGAACAGCTTCCTGGCCACCATGCGCCGCTTGCTCTGATGCTGCTCCGAAGAGCAGTGCAGAGTCATGCACTGACATCAGGGGAACGTCAGAAAGGGGGTAGGGCCTATGCATGAGGAGAGCGGGGAGCATAAAAGGAGGCCAGAAGGGCCCAGGAAAGGGGGGGGGGGGGGAGAAGCGGAAGTGGACGTCGTGAGTGCGACTAGAATAGGAGGAGAAGCCTTCAGGCAGAGGAGCCAGAGTGAGGAGAGGCTGTAGGGTTGCCCGGGGACTGGCTAACCGAGGGACACGACCCAGGATTGAGCGTTGGAGCTGAGGGGCTGCTCGAGGGTTGGTGAGTTACGGTGGCTGCCCCACCAACCAGACAGGGAGTTGCATCCCTGTCCTTAGAGTCCTGGGTCGGGACCCAGAATGAGGGCTGGCCCAGGTCCCCTCTCCCTTCTGTCGGGTGACACCTAGAGGGCGGATGCCCTGCTGACGGGGTTAATCCAGCAAACCAGATTGATACTGTCGAGACTGAGCATAAGTAAAGACTGGAACACGGGAAGAAGGATAAGGGGGGAGAGGTGACACTGGTGGGAGGCTATGCCTTTAAATCTGATGATGACACTGTTGTAAACCTGAGGGGAGGCACAGATAGTGACAGCCTCTTTGCATCATTAACTCCCAACCTCTAATGGCCATCAACAGATTTCCAAACCCTGAGATTTTGTGGATACACATATTTGATTGGATGGTGATATTGGCACATCATTTGAATAGGCATGAATAAGATCATTCGATGCCCCCCTTGGACCTATTCTCTGACGTAGTAAAAGCGGAAGGCCTTCTGTTTCCCTGATCAGAATGTCAGTTTGGTTGGCTCTTGCAGTTTTGGACATATTTTAGGTCTCACAAGGTGCTGAGTCACATATCTTACCCTATCTGTGTTCTGACCCAACTGAAAATTTTGCCACAAAGCCTTTCATAATTTCTAAAGAGATATTAAGGATATTTAGTTTAATTTCTAAAAAGATATTAACCCTTACTTATCACACTACACCATTGCTAAAGCCAACTCATACAGGCTAAGTCCTGCAGGCCTTGCATTACTAGCATTACTAAAATATAGTAAAAGGGATAAGATAGGAAAGTATGTAGATTTGCAGGCTACATATCTAATGATAGCTAATGTGACGTTATTATTTAAAAAGGGCTCTAGAGGTGATTGTGGCAATTACAGACCAGTAAGTCTAACATTTAGTTGTCATGGGATAAGAGGGAAGGTCCTTTTGTGGACTGATAACTGGTTAAAAGACAGGAAACAAAGGGTAGGAATAAATGGTTAGTTTTCAGAATGGAGAGGTAACTAGTGGTTTTCCCCAAGGATCTGTACTAGGACCCATCCTATTTAATTGATCTGAAGAAAAGAGTAAACTGTTAACAAAATTTGCTCAAGATAGTTAAGAACAAAGCAGACTATGAAGAGCTTCAGAAGGATCTCACAAAACTAGATGATTGGGCAATAAAATGGCAAATGCATTTTAATGTTGATAAATGCAAAGTGATGCACATTGGAAAAAAAATCCCAGCTATACATACAAAATGATGGGGATTAATTTAGCTATAACCACTCAAGAGAGTGCTCTTGGAGTCATTGTGGATAGTTCTCTGAAAACATCCACTCAATGTGCAGTGGCAGTCAAAAAAGCAAACAGAATGTTAGGAATAATTAAAAAGGGGATAAAGAATAAGACAAAGGATATCTTATTGCCTCTATATAGCTCCATGGTATGCCCACATCATGAATACTGCGTACAGATGTGGTTGCCTCATCTCAAAAACGAAATATTGGCATTGGAGAAGTTTCAGAGAAGGGCAACAAAAATTATTAGGGGTTTGGAACAGGTCTGCAAGAGATTGAAAAGACTGGGAGTTTTCATCTTAGAAAAGAAGAAACTAAGGGGGGATATGACAGAGGTCTATAAAATCATGACAGATATGGAGAAAGTGAATAAGGAGAAGTTATTTACTTGTTTCCATAACATAAGAACTAGGGGTCACCAAATGAAATTAATAGGTAGCAGGTTTAAAACAATCAAAAGGAAGTTTTTCTTCATGCAGCACATAGTCAACCTGTGGAACTCCTTGTAGCAGATGTTGTGAAGACCAGGATTTTAACAAGGTTCAAAAAAGAACTAGATAAATTCATGGAGGTCCATCAACACTTATTAGCCAGAATGGATAGGAATGGTGTCTCTCGCCTCTGTTTGTCAGGGACTGGAAATGGATGACAGGAGAGGGATCACTTGATGATTACCTGTTTTGTTCACTTCCTCTGTAGCATCTGGCAATTGTCCATTGTCGGATGACAGGATTCAGGGCTAAATGGACTTTTGGTCTGACCCGGTATGACCGTTCTTATGTTCTTAAGCAAGACAGAAGATATCTTAAGACATCCCAATGTCTGATGATAATAAACTTATTAGACAAGCTCTTTTTCAAATATTCACATAACTGAAAAAGTTACTTACTGTAAGAATCCCATGCCATAAGCCAACATCCTTCTTGAAATCTAGTACATTCACAATTGTTTCAGCTATTGAATAAAAAAAAAAGGCTTATTTTTCTGAGTATGGCATGAACTCAAAGCAAAGCCATGTACAGGAAGGAAACAGAGTAAATATTGGCAGAACATCACTGAAGACCTCAAAGCATAACTTTCAGAGTAACTCTCCAGAACAGGATTTGTCTTGGCAAAAAGAAATTAAAAATGCAATGAATACATAATTTCTATTTTTAATCTAGAAATAATTAATACAGCCCTATATGAACCCCAATCAGGCAGAATATAAAATTCAACTTAGTTTTAGGATGAAACAAGAGGAATATATTTAATACCTTCTGTATATCCACATGCTTGTGTAAGAGCTTGACAGTGGGTCAGCAGTGCAATTCTTGTCACAGTCACCCCAAGCACACTTCCATCTTTACATGTTTTGTACTACAAGAAATTTGTTATTAAAGATAGAATATATTGTATGTAACAGTAGCACTTCTCTTAGGGTGTGTCTAGACTACATGCCTCCTTCGACGGAGGCATGTAGATTAGCCAGATCGGAAGGGGGAAATGAAGCCGCGATTAAAATAATCGCGGCTTCATTTAAATTTAAATGGCTGCCCCGATCTGCCGATCAGCTGTTTGTCGGCAGATCGGGGCAGTCTGGACGCGACGCGCCGACAAAGAAGCCTTTCTTCATCGGCACAGGTAAGCCTCGTGAAACCAGGTTTACCTGTGCCGCAAAAGCATCCGTGCCAATCTAGATGCTCTTTTCCGCAAATGCTTTTAACGGAAAAACTTTTCCGTTAAAAGCATTTGCGGAAAATCAT